TGTCTTTCTGGCAAGTGCATGCACCCTATAGCAAAAACCTCTCCAAAAAAAAAGAAAAAAATTGCTGGACAGAGAGAATGAAGGAAGTACAGAGGATGGGTTTTCAGGGCCAGCCAGGTGACGTGGTGGTTAAAGCTGCTGAATCCCACATGGCCAATAGCACAGTTCGATTCTCGGACCCGGTGGCTTGAAAAATACACAGGTGTGTGTGTGTGTGTGTGGGTGTCTAAAATCCCAAGAAGAGAACAGAGGAGAAGGGATTGCAGTGTGGCTATCCCCCATGGGTGTTGCCTTCTCCTTTCCCCTCTCTCATTGTGTTTCTTTTATTTATTTATTTATTTATTTTTGGAGAGGTTTTTGCTATAGGGCTTGTGCGCTTGCCAGCCAGACAGAGACAGAGACAGAAAGCAAGAAATCATCCCCCCAGGGGGGATGGCCACGCCGCAATCCCTTCTCCTCCTTTCTTCTCTCGGGATCTTGGGCACGCATGCACACGCACCTGGCGTGAGTTTAAGCCACTGTGTCCGGGACTCGAACCACGGTTGGCTAACATGGGAGTTCAGCGACATAGCCATTACGCTAACTGCTGGTCCCCTCTCACTGTGTTTCTTCAGAGAGCCCATCCCTATAAAAAAACTAAGAGGGACCAGCAAACAGTTGGTGTAATGGCTGCGCTGCTTGACTCCCATGTAGTTGACTGTGGTTCGAGTACTGGATCCAGTGGCTTAAACTCACGCCGGGCGTGTGTGCGTGCGTGCCCAAGATCCCGAGAGGAGAATGGAGGAGAAAGGATTTCTCGCTTTCTGTCTCTCTCTGTCTTTCTGGCACGCACACATGCCCTATGGCAAAAACCTCTCCAAAAGAAAAGAGTGGATTTTTCTGCCAAGGGCCCTCTTTGAGAGCATCGCAGATCACAAACTGGCTGTCTCTCGCCCTCTAGTGGAAGCCCACAGAATGACATGTTCTGGAAAGGAAGCCGGGAGCCATGCAGGAATGAGACACTGTCCTCCCCTGGGGAGCAGGCTGGCTGTCTGGTGGGAGACCGGAGCATGAAACACACAAGTAACCCACGATGATTACTTCATTGTGTTTCTACCAAGGGGCAAGACGACAGATAGATAAGGTGCTGGGGGCATGTGAATAGCAAATGCAGACCCTGTCTTGGGAGTCAGAGGAAGCTTCCTGGAGGAGGTGACTTTTAGAGTGAGGCCTGAGGAAGGAAGAGTGTTCCAGACAGTGAGAGGAGTGAGGGAAAAGCATGAAGTTGGGGCAAGGAGAGAATGTGAAAACCCAGGGGGAGAAAAGGGGAGGAGTTGGGGCCGGCAGGTGGCGTGGTGGTTAGGGGCATTGGACTCCCACATGGCTAATCACAGTTTGAGTCCCGGACCTGGCAGCTTGCTTTCTCACTTTCTCTCTTACCCTCTGTCCCTCTCGGTCAAACTAAAATAAATAAAGTTAAATAAAACAAGTCTTTTAAGAAAAAAGAAAAGGGGAGGGTGTCTTTTGACCCGAAGGAGAACAAGTAACAGTGAGGTCCAGTGGCATTTTGGGGGTGGCGGCCCCGTCTGGGGGAGTCAGGATCAAGGCCACACAGACCTGTGGTGGTGAAGTTCATCTGAGCCCAGCAGGATTCTCGTTCTCTGCAAAAGGATTTGGGAGAAAATGACAGCATGATGGGGTGACCCCAGGAGACAGGAGGAATGTTCTAGAAACCCTGGTCCCCATCCAGACTTGGCCCTTGGTCTCAACTCCACACACACCTACCTGCGTGACCTCCCCACAAGGTGGTGAACGAAGACTCAACAATACCCCAATTTCCAGAGCGGTCACACTGTGCGACAGACCTTCGGTGGGCTCAGGGGACATCCACAGGGTGCCAGCAGGTGGCACAGTAGTTAAGGCACTGGACTCCCACATAGCCAACTGTGGTTCAAGTCCTGAACCTGAAAACTTGGCTTTCTCACTTTCCTTCCTCTCTCTCTCTCTCTCTCTCTGGTCAAATTAAATAATAATAATAATGATAATAAATAAGGGGCCAGCAGGTGTCGTGGTGGTTAAGGATGCTAGATTCCTACATGGCCAACCGCAGTTCAAGTCCCAGACCTGGCAACTTCCTTTCTCACTTTCTCTCTCACTCTGTCCCTCTCTGGTCAAATTTAAAAGTATAAATAAATAAATAAAGTTAAATAAAAGTTATTTTTAAAATAATAATAACAAATAAAATAAGTAAATAAATCTTTTTAAAAACTGGGGTGGGGGCATCCACAGAAACCCACTAGGGAATCTAGGGGGGTCCTGACAATTTTCTGGCAACTGGCAGTAAAGGGAGGTGAGTGAGGATCAGCCACTTCCTTCTGGCGTCTGAACACTGAGTTCTAGTCCCCCCATCTGTGGAATGGGGTAGTCACAGTGCCTGCTCCCAGGGCTGCGCCAGGTTAAGGTGAACACTGCAGAGTGTCCCAGCACACAGTAGGTGTTTTATAAATGGACCTGTTCCTATGATCAGCCCTCCCACCAGGGGTCGCTGCTTGGAGTGGAGCCCTACGCCCAGCCAGAGACAACATGCCCTTCTATCTCCAAACCACTGAGTCCCCAGGGAGTGTCTCACCTTTTCCTCTGTAACTTTTTGACTTTAACTGGAAGAAAAAATAAACAAGCATTTGTTAGATTTGGGTCCTGGTTACATCTAGGACGTTTTTAAACCTGAGAAACCCAAGTGCTGCCCCAAAGACCTGGGGTCTGTAGGATTCCACTAGACATTTGTCACCCGCCTAGCCTCTCCTGGGGCTCATTTGTCACTCAACAGCACAGTGACAGCAAACATGTTCGTTTTGATATTTTTTTTAAAGAGGTTTTTGCCTTAGGGCATGTGCACTCGCCAGAGAGAGAGGGACAGAGACAATGGGTGGGAAAGTGAGAAATCACCCCCCAGCAAGGATGGCCACATAGCAATCCCCTCTCCTCTATTCTCCTCTCAGGATCTTGGGCACGCATGTACATGCACCTGGTGCGATTTTGAAGCCACCGGATCTGGGACTCAAACCATGATTGGTCATGTGAGAGTCCAGTGACATAACTGCTACGCCATCTGCTCACCCCTTGATTTTTTGTTTCTTCTTTTTTTGGAGAGGTTTTTGCTATAGGGCTCATGCGTTTGCCGGAGAGACAGAAAGCGAGAAATCACCCCCCAGAGGGGATGGCCACACCGCAATCCCTTCTCCTCCATTCTCCTCTCTGGATCTTGGGCACGCACGCACACGTGCCCAGCATGAGTTTAAGCCACCGGGTCCGGAACTCGAACCACGGTCGACTACATGGGAGTTCAGCAACATAGCCATTACGCCAACTGCTGGTCCCTATCTGTTGATTTTTTTTTTAATTGTAAGAGTATTAGGTGTTCATAAAAACATCAAAGGCAGGGTCAACAGGTGACATGGGGGGTTAAGATGCTGGACTCCCACATGTGGTTGACTTCAATTTGAGTCCTGGGCCTAGCAGCTTGAAAATCATGCCAGACACATGGGTCTGGGATTCAAACTGCTGTTTACCATGTGAGAGTGCAATCCCTTAGCCACCATTCCACTGATGGCCCAGCTCCATAGATTTAAGATAATTCTACACAGGGGCCAGCAGGTGGCGTGTGGTTAAGGCACTGGACTCCCACCATGGATTGACAATGGTTCAAATCTCAGACCTGGTGACGTGGAAGTCACACCAGGCACATGTGTATGCATGCCCAGAATCTCAAAAAGAGAAGAGATTGTGTCATGGCCATCCTCCCTGGGGTGGAGGGGGGCTTGATTTCCCACTTTCCTTCTCTGTCTCTCTCTGCCAAGCACAGGTACCCTATGGCAAAAAATAAAATAAAATAAAAAATGAAATGAAATGAAATGAAATATAATATTACATAATAACAATAAATAATAACTTTTGGTGAACTTCTTGAGGACTCCCTTGTGTTGCTCAATGTCTCCTCCCCATCACCCTTGTCTGATTTCTGGAGGTCTCTTCCTTGTTAGGCTTTGGAGTGAGACCTTCCCAGACTGTCTGCCTCTGTCTCCCTGAAGACTGGGCGTGAGTGCATGTGTGAGCACATCTGAATGTTCTAGAAGTTGCAAACACACAGACCGTCGGCCACATCCCCCTTGACTGCTGTTACCTTTCCTGACCACCAGGGCAATGGCCACCAGCCCAGCAAGAAGAAGGAGGGCTCCAGCCAGGCTCAGGGAGAGTGCCAGGATCCAGGTGGGCACTAGAAGGAAGTGGGAAAAGACAATGCAGACTGGTCATGGAGCTGTGGGGAAGGGGCACTGCCCTCTCTCCAAGTCACCATTGAAGAGCCAGCCCTCCCAACCCGTTCCACCGGTGGATTTGCTACAGCAAGACCCTGACAACTTAGCAAACTTTATAGCCACCAATCAATTAGCATACTCCCTCCCCCAGCCATTGTGATTGGTTCAGGAATTAGCATGTAACCCAGGTTGAACCAATGAGAGGTAATTCTGGGACTTTGGGTAGACCACTGGGAGAAAGAGGTTTGCTTTTCTGAGTAGCATGACACAGCTGGTAGGATATGCAAAGGGACTTCCAAAAGTTCATGAGGCTCAGACGCTGTGGCACAACTGATAGCATACCAGAGTGCAGAGGTGAAAGCCACGTGTGAATCACCGTTCGAATCCCCAGTCAGGCTGGCCTGAAACATATTTGTTTAGCGGCTAGGGCTGGGAGTTGAACTACAGCTAGCCAGGTGGGACTGGCCCTTATGCACAGGCCTCAATTCCTGTGTTATGACGCCAGTCCTGTTGTTTTTGGTTTTGTTTTTAGAGAGATTTTTGCTACAGGGGATTTGCACTCACTGGAGAGATAGAAAGAGACAGAAAGTGAGAAATCACCCCCAAGGGAGATTGCCACGCCACAATCCTTTCTCCTCCATTCTCCTCTCGGGATCTTGGGCACGCACGCACATGTCTGGTGTGAGTTTTAAGCCACTAGGTCTGTGGTCAACTATGTGGGAGTTCGGCAAAGTAACCATTATGCCATCTACTGATCCCCCTGCTTTTGTCTTTTAAAATATGCTTTTCGTGTGTGTGTGCTAGAAGGTGCATGCTCTCACCAGAGAGAGACAGAGAGACACAGAGAGAGGGAGAGGAGAAAGTATCCCTCAAAGGGCACAGTCATGCTGCAATCTTTTCTCTTCCATTTCTCCCTCCTTTTGGGATTTTGGGTAAGCTCACACATGCACCCCATGTGTTTCTCAAGTTGCTGGGTTTGGACTCAACCATGCAGTCAGCCGTGTGGGATAAGGCTGCCTTAAACACCAGGGCATGGAACCAGTCTTGAAATTATTTTTATTCATGGGGCTGGCGGGTGGCATGGTGATTGAGGTGCTGGAGTCCCACATGGCTGACCATAGTTCAAGTCCTGGACCCGGTGACCTGAAAATCACAAGAAATAAATACATAAATAAAGAATTAAATTTTTTTATTATTTTTATTCATGGTAAAGACTGCATGTAGTTGGGGGGCAGGAAGTACCCTCAATAGGTGTGTTCATGCCATGATCCTATTCCAACAGCTCATCGGGATCCCAGGCACTTGTCTACCTGGTTTATTTTATTCATTCATTCATTTATTTTCATTTGACCAGAGAGAGACACACAGAGATAGAGAGGGGGAAAGGGAGAAACCAAGCCACCACGTCCGGTACTCGAACCGTGGTCGACATGTGGGAATGTCCAATGCCTTAACCACTGTGCCACCTGCTGGCATCCTACCTGGTGTATTTTAGGCCAATCAGGGATCCAGTTCTGCGCTTGATCAGGTGGTTCCAGCACTGCAGATTAGGGTGCTACTGACTATGCTGAATGAAGCCCAGCCTGGTTTTTGGTTTCCCTTCTTTTTACAAGAAACGGTACAAGATAGAAAGAGAAAGTGAAAGAGATAGCTTCTTTTTTTTTTTTTCTGTTTCTTTTTGACAGGGTCTGGCTCTGTCTCAGTCCTCCTGTGCTAGCTTCCCAGTTAGCTGGGACCACAGGCAAGCACCACACCGTATGACATACATAGGCTCGGCTAGAAACCCAGGCCTTCCAGGAGGCCTCACCCGCTGCTGACAGGTGGCTTGCACCTGGACTGCTGTCACTGGAGAGAGACACAGAGAGAGACAGAGAGGGGGAAAGTGAGAAATCACCTGGGGGTGGCCACACTGGAACCTCTTCTCCTTCATTCTCCTCTCAGGATTTGGGCATGCGCACACTTGCCTGGTGTGAATTCAAGCCACCAGATCTGGGGCTCAAACTGCAGTCAGCCATGTGAGAGTCCAGAACCCTAACCACCACGCCCCCTGCTGGCCCCAGTATGGAGGTTTAATGCCTAGCCTCTTGGGGCTCATAGTACCTTAACTCGGCTACTTCTTCTTCTTTATTTTTGATTGAGAAAGAGACTTTTGATAGGGTGTGTGCACGCACCCAAGAGAGAAAGAGACAGAAAGCGAGAAATCACCCCCCTGGGGGGTATGGCCACTTCGCAATCCCTTCTCTTCCAGTCTCCTCTCAGGATTTTGGGCATGCATGCACACGCGTGGTGTGAGTTTCAAACCACCGGGTCCAGGACTCAAACCCTGTTTGACTACGTGGGAGTCCAGTGACGTAACCATTACGCCGTCCACTGGTCCTAATTCTGCTACCTCTTAGCCATATGACTTGGGTGAGTCCCTGCTCCTCTCCTCACGTTTCAGTTTCCTTTTCTGCAAAATGGGTAGAATCTAAGAGGATTTGGCACAATAAGTCTGGCGGGTGCTGAGCCCAGCTCTACCTGCCGAGGGGGAGAATAGAACCCATGGAGGGCCTTACCTGGGAAGGAGACGTGCACAGGCTCACTGAGGTCCGACAGCTGTGGCTGGCTGTGCTCGCCCAGCACGCCGTACTGACAGTGGAACGGTCCCCCCGGAGCCTCGCCACTGCTGCCGCCGCTCAGGTTGAAGGTGACCCTAAGTTGGTCTGCGGGGGCCTGCAGAAGCTGGATCACATGCCCCCCGCGGTACAGCGTGAAATTCGCACCCGGGAAGCCCCCGGGCGCCATGCACGAGATGTGGATGGGATCGTCTTGGCTGCTCGGGTGTGGAGGCACCAGCCAGATGGATGGTGCCGGGATCGCCAAGGAGCCTGTGATGCAGAACGAAGGGAGGCAGGTGGGTAAGTGGTGCGGACACGGGCTGCCCTGGCTGCGGGGCCTGGGGTAATACGGTGGCCCTCTCTGGGCCTTGTTTTTCTTTTTCTTTTTTTCCTTTCTTAAAATATGCTATAGGGCCAGCAGATGGTGTGGTGGTTAAGGTGCTGGACTCCCACATGGCAAACCACGGTTCAAATCCCAGACCTGGCGGCTTGCTTTTTCACTTTCTTTCTCTCTCACTCTCTTTGTCTCTCAGGTGAGCACATGTGCCCTATTGCAAACTTGAAAAAAATAATTAACATTAAATAAGTAGTAATTTTAAAAAGCATTTGCTATAGACTATGTGTACCACTGGGGAACAGAGAGAGAAAGCAAGAAAGCACCCCACGGGGGCATGACCACACTGTAATCCCTTCCCCCCCACCCTCCTCCTGGAATTCCAGACATGCATACACACCCACTATGCCTCTCTAACTGCCCCAGCCAGGACCTGAACCATGTACTCAGCCACGTGGGATCCAGCCACCCCAACCACCACATCACCTGGCTGGCCTCATAGTTTTATTTATTTTGTTTTTTTGAGAGAGATTTTTTTGCTAGAGGGTGGATGCACTTGCTGGACAGACGGCCAGCCAGAAAGTGAGAAATTACCCCGAGGGGGATGGTCACATCGCAATCTCTTCTCCTCATCGCCTCCTGAGATTTGGGGCACACATGCACATGTGCCCTGTGTGAGTTTCAAGCTGCTGGATCCAGGACTCAAACCACAGTCAGCCACAGGAGAGTCCAGTGCCTTAACCACTAGGCCACCTACTGGTCCCAGTTTTTCTTTTTCTAACATGCCAGAGGGCACGTATGCTTGCCAAGGAGAGACAGAATAAGAGAGGGAAAGTAAGATAGCACCCCCATGGGGAATTACCACACTGCAATCTCTTCTCTTCCATTCTTCCCTCCTGTCGGGATTTTGGGCATGCATGCACATTCACTCAACATCTTTTTCTTTTTCTTTTTAAAAGAATTATCTTATTTAACTTTATTTATTTATTTATTTATTTTTATTTTACCTTGACCAAAATGGGAGAGAGAGAAAAGTGAAAAAGCAAGCCACCAGGTCCGGGACTCAAACCGCAGCCCGCCCTGCTCCTCTCCTCACGTTTCAGTTTCCTTTTCTGCAAAATGGGTAGAATCTAAGAGGATTTGGCACAATAAGTCTGGCGGGTGCTGAGCCCAGCTCTACCTGCCGAGGGGGAGAATAGAACCCATGGAGGGCCTTACCTGGGAAGGAGACGTGCACAGGCTCACTGAGGTCCGACAGCTGTGGCTGGCTGTGCTCGCCCAGCACGCCGTACTGACAGTGGAACGGTCCCCCCGGAGCCTCGCCACTGCTGCCGCCGCTCAGGTTGAAGGTGACCCTAAGTTGGTCTGCGGGGGCCTGCAGAAGCTGGATCACATGCCCCCCGCGGTACAGCGTGAAATTCGCACCCGGGAAGCCCCCGGGCGCCATGCACGAGATGTGGATGGGATCGTCTTGGCTGCTCGGGTGTGGAGGCACCAGCCAGATGGATGGTGCCGGGATCGCCAAGGAGCCTGTGATGCAGAACGAAGGGAGGCAGGTGGGTAAGTGGTGCGGACACGGGCTGCCCTGGCTGCGGGGCCTGGGGTAATACGGTGGCCCTCTCTGGGCCTTGTTTTTCTTTTTCTTTTTTTCCTTTCTTAAAATATGCTATAGGGCCAGCAGATGGTGTGGTGGTTAAGGTGCTGGACTCCCACATGGCAAACCACGGTTCAAATCCCAGACCTGGCGGCTTGCTTTTTCACTTTCTTTCTCTCTCACTCTCTTTGTCTCTCAGGTGAGCACATGTGCCCTATTGCAAACTTGAAAAAAATAATTAACATTAAATAAGTAGTAATTTTAAAAAGCATTTGCTATAGACTATGTGTACCACTGGGGAACAGAGAGAGAAAGCAAGAAAGCACCCCACGGGGGCATGACCACACTGTAATCCCTTCCCCCCCACCCTCCTCCTGGAATTCCAGACATGCATACACACCCACTATGCCTCTCTAACTGCCCCAGCCAGGACCTGAACCATGTACTCAGCCACGTGGGATCCAGCCACCCCAACCACCACATCACCTGGCTGGCCTCATAGTTTTATTTATTTTGTTTTTTTGAGAGAGATTTTTTTGCTAGAGGGTGGATGCACTTGCTGGACAGACGGCCAGCCAGAAAGTGAGAAATTACCCCGAGGGGGATGGTCACATCGCAATCTCTTCTCCTCATCGCCTCCTGAGATTTGGGGCAATCGCCTCCTGAGATTTGGGGCACACATGCACATGTGCCCTGTGTGAGTTTCAAGCTGCTGGATCCAGGACTCAAACCACAGTCAGCCACAGGAGAGTCCAGTGCCTTAACCACTAGGCCACCTACTGGTCCCAGTTTTTCTTTTTCTAACATGCCAGAGGGCACGTATGCTTGCCAAGGAGAGACAGAATAAGAGAGGGAAAGTAAGATAGCACCCCCATGGGGAATTACCACACTGCAATCTCTTCTCTTCCATTCTTCCCTCCTGTCGGGATTTTGGGCATGCATGCACATTCACTCAACATCTTTTTCTTTTTCTTTTTAAAAGAATTATCTTATTTAACTTTATTTATTTATTTATTTATTTTTATTTTACCTTGACCAAAATGGGAGAGAGAGAAAAGTGAAAAAGCAAGCCACCAGGTCCGGGACTCAAACCGCAGCCAGCCATGTGGGAGTCCAGCACCCTTAACCACCACGTCACCTGCCAGCCCCCATCCAATGTTTTTAAGCCACCAGGTCCGGGACTCAATCTGTGCAGCCAGCCATGGGGGAATCCAGCGGCCTTAATCACCACACAACTGCTTCCCCAGGCTTTATTTCCAGGGTGCATGGGGAGGGGGGCTGAAAATTCCCTCCCCGTTGCGACGTGGAGGGCACTGAGTCCTTGGCACAGGAGCAGGGTCTCCGTGTTCAAGTCACTTCATAACAGCGTTTATTACACTGTAACACAATCATACGGGGCATCGGAAAGTTCATAGAAAACTGGAGTTAAAGGGTGAGTGGGTGGCATGGTGGTTAAGGTGTTGGACTCCCACATGGCTGACTGCAGTTCAAGCCCTGGACTTGGCAGCTTAAAAGTCATGCCAGGCACATGTGTGTGCGTGTCCAAAATCCTGAGATGGGGGATGGAGGAGAAGGGATCGCAGTGTGGCCATCCTCCCTGGCGGGGGGGGTGGGAGTGATTTCTCGCTTTCTGTCTCTGGCAAGTGCACACACCCTGTTAAAAAAAAAAAAAACCCTAAAAAAAAAAAAAAATAAAGCCTGTGTTTTATTAGATGCAAAAAATCTTTGCAATCTATGCATATGTTTTTCATAATACACATTTTCCATGAATTTTTAAAAAGCTTTCCTTAGGGACCAGCAGGTGGTGTAATGGTTATATCACTGGCCTCCCACATGGACAACTGCAGTTCAAATCCTGAACTGGGGAGCTTGAAACTCATGCCGGGTGTGTATGTATGTGTGCCCAAGATTCTGGGAAGAGAATGGAGGAAAAGGGATATGGGGTAGCGATCCCACGTGGGGCGTGATTCCTTTTTTTTGGGAGAGATTTTTGCTATAGGGCACGTGCGCTCACCAGACAGACAAGAGACATAGAGACAGAAAGCGAGGGGGGATGGTCACGCCGCAATCCCTTCTCCTCCATTCTCCTCTCGGGATCTTGGGCACGCACGCACACGCACCCGGCGTGAGTTTTAAGCCACCGGGTCTGGGACGCAAACTGCGGTCGACTATGTGGGAGTCCAGCGACATAGCCATTATGCTAACTGCTGGTTCCTGGGGCATGATTCTTGTTTTCTGTCTCTCTCTTTGTCTGTCTTTCCGGCAAACACATGCGGCCTAAAACAAAAATCTCTCTAAGGAGAAAAAAATTTTTTTGGCCTCATGGGCCAGCTCTGTGGCCTGGTGGCTAAGGCAGCTGGATTCCACATGGCCAACCCTTCATGTCAAGTCCTGGACCCAGCGACCTGAAAACCATGGTGAGTATGTATGTGTGCTTGCCCAGAATCCTGAAAAGAGGGAGAAGTGCAGGAGAGAGGATTGTGGCATGACCAAGACTCACTGGGGTTCTGTCTCTCTCTCCCTCTTGTCCCTCTGTCTCTCTCTAGCAAGCTCATGCACCTTCTGGCAAAGTTAAAATGAGTAAGACTCCACGTTGGGCCTGCCAGTAGTGTGGTGGTTATGTCGGCTGGATTCCACATGGCTGATTGCATGGTTCAAGTCCCAGACCCAGCGACTTGCACTTCAACACACTAGGCACGTGTGCACATGCACCAGAATCCTGATGGGGGATGCGGAGAAGGGGCTGCGGTGTGGCCATCCTCCCTTGTGGGCTCTTGGTCACTTTCCCTCCTCTTTCTGTCTTTCTCACGAGCGCATGCACCCTACTCAAATTAAACAGAAACGAAGCCCTCAAATATTCTTTTTTTTTTTAAAAGAATGATTTAATTTTGTTTATTATTATTATTTATTTATTTTAGAGAGATTTTTGCTATGGGGCACGCACGCTCACCAGAGAGACAGAAACAGAGAGATAGAAAGCGAAGAATCATGCCCCCCCAGGAGTGATGGCCACGCCACAGTCCCTTCTCCTCTGCTGTCTTCTTGGGATTTTGGGCACGCGAGCACATGTGCCCAGCATGAGTTTTAAGCCACCGGGTCTGGGGCTCCTACCGTGATTGACTACATGAGAGTCTAGCAATGTAACCATTACGCCATCTTCTGATCCCAATTTTGTTTATTATTATTATTATTATTATTATTATTATTATTATTATTTAATTTGACCAGAGAGATATTGAGATCAAGATGGAAAGTGAAAAAGCAAGCTGCCAGGTCCAGGACTTGAACCACAATTGGATATGTGGGAGTACAGTCCCTTAACCACCACGCCACCTGCCGGCCCCAATCATATATTCTTAGGACTTCAATCAACAATCCTGTGCCAGGCCCAATTCCAGATGCTGGGGACATAGAAAAGAAGGAGGCAAATGGGCAGGCACATCTGCCTTGTGGCCATGGCATTCTCTCGAGGAGACAGAGTGCTGGGTAACAGGAAGGCTGTATTAGCTGGGGTGGTCATGGAGGGCTTCCCTGAAGAGGTGACCTCTGAGCTGAGTCCTGAGTAATGAAAAGCTGGGGAGAGCATTCCAGCCAGAGGGAACAGCATGGGCAAAGGTCCAGAGGATGGAAGGGGCGTGGAGGTGTTCAAGACCAGGGCGGTTGCAGCGGGGTGAGTGAGGGGATGAGGGCAGGACAGATGGGTTCTGTCTTCGTTCCCCGGGAAAAAGGAATAAGGTTCAGACCACAGCTCTCTGCAGTTGGATGCAGGGAGCTTGCTCTCGCCAAGCTGCCTGCAGGCGGTGTGGCCAGGTGAGGTACACAAGCCTTCCCTTGTCCAGCTCCCACCCCGATCTCCTCCCGGGCAGATCCTCCAGCCACCGCAGCCCCCAAGGTGGGAGCCTGTAGTGGCCGGGCAGAGCTGAGTCACGGGGTGTGGGCACTGCCGTGTCCTGATATTCTTGACTTGAGGGTGATGAAGAGCTGAATAAGAATAAGCAACACCCCTGGGGGGCTTCCAAGGCTCCCGGAAAAACCTGTCCAGACTCAGCCTTCTTCATCACCTGGGATGGGAGGCTAGCCAGCATTGGCACTTCTGTCCCCACAACGGCAAGGTGTGTGTGGGGGGGCATGGGAAATGGGGTGCGGGTGCTGGAGGGGGGCGCGTCAGACTCACCGGCCGCAAAGAGCAGGACGGTCCAGGGCATCGCTCCTCCTGCGTTTGGCCGGGAAATCTGGCTGAGGCCAGAGGGGCCCAGGGCTCCCCGCCAACTCCAACTGTGAGGCCAGAGCTGGGAAAGGAGAACCAGGGCTGATTCGAGCTGAGCGTTTCCTCACGGGCAGGAAGTTGCACACACACGCTTGGGCATTGACAGGGACTCTCTCCTCTCCCCACCCCTTCCCCAAACACAGTCAGGCCTGGGCAGCTCGCTGCACCCTCCTGGCTGGGGTTCTGCAGAGTGGAAGGAGAAATACATCAGATGGTCAGGGGGGTTCTCCCTCTCTCTCTCTCCCCACAAAGAGAACTCTTGGGCATAAGGAAGGGCAATGACAGTGGGCTCTTTGGGAAACCCATGCCCACCACACAAACCACATCCCAACCAATGCCAAAATTGAAACAAAAGTAGGGCAGCGATTGGGAGGGCGTGGTGGTTAGAGCCTGGCCTTTGTGACCACGGTGAGATCTCCCTTCTCTGAAGCCTCAGCTTCCCACTCTGCACCGGAGGGCTGGGAGCAGTGGACAGTAGATCCAGGGAACACATGATAGGAAATGTAACGGTCAGTGGTCTCCAACATTTTTAGCACCAGGGTCTGGTTTTGTAGAAGACAATTTCCTCTCGGGAGTTTGAGCATGCACACACATATGCCTGGTGTGAGTTTCAAGCTGCCAGGTCCAGGACTTGAACTGTGGTTAATCATGTTGGGGTCCAGCGATGTAACCATTACACCATCTGCTGGGCCCTCATATCACATTTATTGAGCCCTTTATTTCTACTATTATTACATTGCACTATACAATGTAATCATTTTACAGTTCACTATAATGCAGTATTCGCAGCCACTCCCCAGTGCTAGCATCACTGCCTCAGCTCCACCTCAGAACATCAGGCATGAGATTCTCATAAGGAACATGCAGCCTAGATCCCTCACATACACAGTACACAACAGGGTTCCTGCTCCTATGAGAATCTAATGCCGCAGCTGATCTGGCAGGAGGTAGAGCTCTGGCAGTAATGTGAGTGATGGGGAGGCTGGGTGAAGCTTCACACACTTGCCCACTGCTTACCTCCTGCTGTGTGGCCCAGATTGCTACCGGTTCGTGGCCCAGGCATTGAAGACATCTGGCCTAGAAAGTTGTGAGTGTTCCCAATGAGGACCTATATTGGGGAGTGGGGGAGCCTCAGGAGCTTCACCAGTCAGGGTAAAGGGAGCAGTAGCTCCAGAATTGAGGAATTGCTATAGTTTACAAAATAAATGGACTCCTGTTTGCAGCCCAGTAACTTCCAAGCTTCTGTTTTACCACCAGGTTTGGTCTCTCTAAATGTTTCTGTTCAAGACAAACAGATGTACCTGAGGTTTACACCCAGGAAGTAGAGTACGGTCATCAAAAGCTGGAAAGGAACATTAGACTAGTCTTTTTTTCTTTATGTATTTATTTAGTTAGGGTAGTCTTTTTTATCTTTGAAGACACAAAGCTCATTCCAACCTCAGGACCTTTACACATGCTACTTCCTTTGCCGAGGACATAGTTCTCTCAACTTGGTCAAATCTTACGTCTTCATTTTTAGCTTAAATGTCACTTCCTGGAATCTTTCCAAATTCCTCTGGATTCAGGTAAATCATCTTGCTAATTACATAGTACTTTGTAATTATCTTTTATTGCGATTAGCATGCCAGCATTTTTGAGGAATTTGTCCATTTCCTCTAAGTTGTCTAATTTATTGATATAAAATCATTCATATGCCCTTGACATGGCTACCTGACCTGGTGGTTAAGGCAGGAACTGGCAGCTTGGGAAACATACTAGGTACATGTGCCTGCCTAGAATCCCAAAGGGAGGGAGACACAAAGGAGAAGGGATTATAATATGACCATTCCCTTACGGGGGTGGGGGTGCTCTTTACCTCTCTTTCTCT